CTGAAGTCTGCTACAGCAGGTGACTTCTGCTAATTACGTCGTCACAATTTTGAGCATCTTCCCTGTAGTAAAGAGCCAACCAAACGGAAAGGGGAAGGTAAGGCTGAGCGCCTCGGGATGGAGCCCAGCCCCTGCCCTACCCTGAAGGTCTCCTCTCCTGCAGCGCAGCATCAGTAACTCCCAGGCCCCTCTTGGCTCCTGACGAGCATCTCCCCAAACAACGCGACCCTCTCCCCATTCCTGCGCAGTTTCCCTGATGCTGTGTGTCCAGAGCTGCAGCCGAGGAGCCAGCCCAGGGCGCAGCTCAGCCAGGGGCTGCTCGGGAGGGAATGGAGCAACAGCACGGGCTGCTGCGAGCACGGCTCCTGGGTGGAAGGGAAGCCCGAGGCAAGGCGCTGCTCCCTCCCACACAGCGAGCCAAAGGGAACCACGACAGGCTGGACGCTGCGGCGAACAATCTTTAATCAAGTTATGCAATATACAAAAAGTTCAGGTTTCATGTAGATGAATCTCAATATTAAAAGGCTGATTGCTCAGTCTCACCCTGGGCTTGTTAAATATCTTACCTGAATTTCTACAAGAGGAAACAAAAGCCTAGAGCATCAGCACAGACACGTACAAATAACTTACACGATAGTTCTGCTCTCCCCATGCTTTGCTCTCTCAAGAGAAGGCCCAGGAGCCTCAAACATGAGGGTTGTGACTCGAGTCAGGCTTTTGGAAGTTAGAAAATAAAGGCAAGGGATGCAATTAAAAAACAGAATTCTATCATCAGGAAGGGGGAGCAAGAAACCTCTTTGGATACCAGAGTGAACAACGCCGTTCCCACAGCACCAGGGGTTTCCTTGTGGCAACGAGGCCGCACCCAGGAGCGGGAGCCCAGTTATGCGGTGGGAGGCGACACGCGAGCTGGGTGCTGCCGGATCTCCCCCTCCGCAGCCGGGACAGTTCGGCACAGCTGTCGAGTCCGTCGAGAACAAGGCCTAAGCAGAGGGTTTTGCACGGGCTGAGCCAGACTTGGAACTGAGGAGCTTCTCCACCATGGTGCGGGCGTAGCGGAGCCGGCTGGCCAGCTCCTTGCAGCACCCGTGCTCCTCGATGAGGCTCAGCTTGTACGTGCGGAAGTCCCGTTTCTCATCTATGTACGTGACAGCAGCCATGAGGGGGCACAAGATGACCTTGGTGTGGTCCTGGGGGGAGAGAGCACACGGTCACCCCCAGCCCCCTGCTCTTGGGGACGGCGTGAGCCACCTCGGCCGCACCCAGCAGCACGCCGACAAAGCGCCCCGCCGCAGCCCAGCTGGGAAGCGTCG